TCTCATGATCTTGAAAACCTCTATTAAAACCCCTCTTAATCTTCCCTACTCTAGGGAGAATAATCCTAGTTTCGCTAACCTCTCCTCATAACTAAGCTCCTTCAATCCTGGTGCCATCCTGGTAAACCTCCTTTGCACCCTCTCCAATACCGTAACATCTTTCCTAAAGTGCGGTGCCCAGAACTGAACGCAGTCTCCAACTGAGGCCTAACCAGCATTTTATAAATATTCAGCTTAACCTCCTGACGTTTGAATTCTATGCCCCTATTTATCCCGTAAGCTTTTTTAACAGTTTTATCCACCTGTCCAGCCACCTTCAGAGATTTGCTTGTGGACCCCTCTCTGTTCATTTGGCCTCTTTAAGAGTGTAATAGGAAAGTGCAGCTGCACTGTTTCTGTGATATCCGCTACAGACACCCACCGCTGCTACGATCCCGCTATAAATGAAGTGTCCGGCCCGCGGGCCACTCGCTGGTTTCCTGGCGTCACCGCGGACGGAGTGGATCCGGACGCGAGTGCGCGATGCAGCACAAGGGCTGCACTCGGGAGGCCCCGCCGTTGTGATTGTCCGTGTGTTTGTGTGATTGTGAGTGTCTGTGTGTGTCTCTCTATGTGATTGTGAGTGTCCGTGTGTGTGTCTCTCTCTATGTGATTGTCTGTGTGCGTCTCTCTCTGTGTTTTGTGTGAGTATGTCTCTCTTTGTGTGTTTGTGAGTGTATATGTGAGTGTGTCTCTCTCCTCTGTATGTGTGTCTGTTTCTGAGTGTCTCTGTGTCTCTCTCCTATGTATGTTTATGAGTGTGTCTGCATGTGTCTCGTCTATATGTGTGTGTGGTTCTCAGTGTGTCTCTGTGTGAATGTGTGTGTGTGTCTCTCTCTCTGAGAATATGTGTCTCTCTGTGTCTGTGAGTGTGTCGCTCTCTCCAGATCTCTGCGTCTGAGAGGCAGAAGATGGTGAGCTCCTATAGCCTCACTGGTGTTCTCCCCCTACACCCCCCACAAAAAAAGGCCACCCCGTTTATGTTAAAGAAGTAATTAATTTTTTTTGCAACCATCTAACATGTGTTATTTCCTTATGTTTAGTTTATATCAATAAAGTGAAAAAATGTAGGTTGGCAGTAAAATGTACCTCAATAGCACCAATCAGTCCCCCTCAATTTTCTGCAATATTTGACAATCCCCTGCAATTTCCCACAAAATTTGCAAGTCTCCCCACAATTTTTGGCAAACATTTCCACATTTTTCTATTGGCCCAGGCGGAGGGCAAACTAAACTCCAGCAAGAGGCTGGGAACAACAAAAGCATATGTCAGTGGCAAGAAAATTAGAAAATAATTGGATGCACTTTTTTTAAATGAAAAACTCATATCCATTTTTCTCATCATATAAAGAGCAAACTTGACGGAGTGATTTATTAACCTATAAATCCTTTTTTTTTTGCTGACGGCAGCAGGTATCAGTACAGGTACCGAGGTCTAACACACACTGTCTAACATTACATGCTTAGAGTGTGGTTTCCAAGTGCGTTAGTGTTAGGGAATGGCATAGGTTAGAACCCATTGACAGTTCCCGTTCTTCCTGGTTAAAATGCATGATGCAGCTCATACTGAAAGATTAACAACTGTGACATATTACTGCAGGTTATCAATAAATCATCAGCAACTGATTCCTAGGAATTGTCTGTGTGAATTTTATTTATTAAATGTGCATTCTTCGGCATTAATATCTAATCTTTAAAAGGATTCAGTTCAACCAAATGAAGACTTCTTACAAAATAATATAAAAATAATAATAATTTGGTTACTCAATCCATGGCTGTTTGCGGGACGCTGCTGTGCGCAACTGACTGCCTCGTTTCACCCACAACATATACAGTCTATTCACTTTACAGTATATTCGGTGGAGCGCTTTGAGACATCTCAAAGACTTGATAAGGTGCTATATGAAATGCAAGGATTATTATTGTATATTTAACAAAGATGTTCCCACAAAATGTAATAATTTATCCACAAAATACAACAACTAACCTTTATATAGTGCCCTTCACGCAGGGTAGCATCTCAGAGTCCTTAAATACAGTCAATCCACTTTACAGTAAATCTGTGAAGCGCTTTGTTATTTCCCTTTTATAGTACAATTACGAGAATTTTGCACCAAACAAGCATTCATTTAGATGCATTAGAATAGAGTCACAATGGTACTTTAAGTCTGAAATGCATTGTCTCCAAATTGTAATATTTATGTGAAAATATAGACGTGTAGTGAAATCACAATGCAAAGTTCTTGCACGAAAAGACTAAACAACATTAAAACGATGACCTTCTGTTTGTCTGTAACTAATACTACAGGCGCTAGCTCATTGCCGAGACAGGCAGAGGAACAGACAGGTAGTGAACAAGTGGTAGGGCTTCAGAGCAGTGAGGCAGTGAATGGGTTACAGGGATCTGACTAACAAGAGAACAAAGCTCCAGCTGTTTAGAAACGTCAAATGAACAGTCAGATTGTATTACAGCCTTATACTCTATCCCAGGTAGTTTTTTTTAATCACAGTTATTCCTTCTACTCATTGATGTTATAACGAGTTAGAGTGATCTCCGAGGGTCAAAGTCAGCGCCTGTGGAGCTCTGTGCGAAGAAATGGAACACCTGCTTCTGTTTGTGACACTGCCACACCTTTGACCCTCAGAGGCCACTCTTACTATGTTCTTCAATTGCGAATGAATTCAATGGAAAGCCATCTCAGGTCGACCTGATAGTAGAGCTGTGTGTGTGTGTGTTGTGTAGCTGTATGTGGGTGTGTAGGTGTGTGTGTAGGTGTGGGTGTGTGTGCGTAGGGGTGTGTTGGGGGTGGGGGGGTGTAGCCCTGTGTGGAGGTATGCGTGTAGGTGTTTGTGTATAGTGTGTTTGTGTGTAGTGTGTGTGTATAGTGTGTGGGTGTGTATAGTGTGGGTGGGTGGATGTACAGTGGGTGTCTGTGTGTGTAGTGTGTGTCTAATGTTTGTGTGTGTAGTGTCTGTGTGTGTCGTGTGTGTGTGTATATAGTGTGTGTAGTGTGTGTATAGTGTGTGTGTGTAGTTTATGTGTGTGTATAGTGTGTGCATGTGTATAGTGTATGTGTGTTGTGTGTGAATATAGTGTATGTTTGTATAGTGTGTGCATGTGTGTATATAGTGGATGTGTGTGTATTGTGTGTGTGTATAGTGTGTGTGTATATAGTATGTGTGTGTATCGTTTGTGTTTTGTGTATAGCATGTTTGTGTATAGTGTGTTTTTGTACAGTGTGTGTATAGTATGTGTATAGTGCGTGTATATAGTTTGGGTGTATAGTGTGTGTGTGTGTATATAGTGTGTGTGTAGTTTGTGTGTGCATGTAGTGTGTGTGTTATGTGCCTGTAGTGTGTGTGTGTTGTGTGTGTATAGTGTGTTTGTGTATAATGTGTGTGTATAGTGTGTGGCGGGGTGTGTATTGTGTGTGTGTTTATAGTGTGTTTGTGTATAGTGTGTGTGAAGTGTGTGTGTATAGTGTGTGTGTGTATATGTATAGTCAGTGCGTGTGGGTGTGTTTGTGGATAGGGTGTGTGTGTAGTGTCTGTGTATAGTGTGTGTGTATTGTGTGTGTATATAGTGTGTTTGTGTATGGAGTGTGTATAGTGTGTGTATATATAGAGTGTGAGTACAGTTTGTGTGTGTATAGTGTGTGTGTACTGTGTGTGGTGTGTGTATGTGTATAGTGTGTGTATGTATAGTGTGTGTGGGTGGGTGTAATGTGTGAGTGTATCCATATGTTTGTGAGTGTGTGCGTATACTGTGAGTGTGTGTGTGTATAGTGTGAATATGTGTGAAAAGTGTGTGTGCATAGTGTGTAGTGTGTGCATATAGCGTGTGTATAGTGTGTGCGTATAGTGCGTGTGTTTGTGTGTATAGTTTGTGTGTATTTTATGTATATAATGTGTGTGTGTAATGTGTGTGTGGTGTGTGGGTATAGTGTGCGCGTGTATAGTGCGTGTCTGTGTATAGTGCGTGCGCATGTGTACAGCCCACTCGTGTGTGTATATAGTGCTTGTGAGTGTATATAATGTGCACGCGTGTATAGCATGCATATAGCGTACGCGTGTGTATAGCATGTGCGTGTGTATAGTGGGCACGTATAGTGTGTGTTGTGTGTACAGCGCGTAGCGCGTGTTACGGGTGCGCACTGTACATGGCGTGTGCGCGCATTGTGTGTAGCGTGCGCACAGTGCGTGTAGCGCACCCAAAGTGCGTTTAGCACGTGCGCAGTGCGTGTAGCGCGCACAAAGTGCGTTTAGCACGTGCGCAGTGCGTGTAGCGCGCACAAAGCAGGTAGGGCGCGTGCAGCGCTCATGCATTGCGTGCGTATTGCATGTGTATAGCTCGCTTATATAGTGCACCAGCCCGCGTATAGCCCGTGTATAGTGTGTGTACAGTAGAAGCATCAACTCATGCTAACATGAGGAAAAACAATACATTACTTAATTATTTTCATTGTCTGATAAATACTATTAAATAATCCTTGTGTTGGATATAACACTTCTAACTCGTCGTTGAAATGTCTCAAAGTGCTGATGGGATTTATCGTAAAGTGTAGTGACTGCGAACTTATAGCCGCAGATTACCATTTTGTGACTTAACTTTACACGTCTGTTTAAGGGCTATGTTACGTCCTTGAATCCAAACAGGACTCAATGCAATAACTTCTTTGCAGTGTAGGATATCTGATAGTAAGCAACTACTGAACAGAAAGGCACCGTTAATGTGAAACAACACTTAATGTGGACTCAATGAGCAAGACGTACAAACTAAGATTCATCCTTTAAGACCGGAAACGCATTGCATACTTTCTATCTGAATACATACTGCTGTGCTCAACTGGCTGCCCCGGTTTGCCCGCAATATACAGTCACTATACTTTGCAATATATTCTGTGAAGCACTTAGTTTCAGGTGTAAGACATTGTGATTCAAAAGAAGAGAAAATAAACCCACAGGAATGCAGACATTCAATGATGGTTGTGGCGTCGATGAAATATCCACCGCACAAAGCACACATCAGGTGAGGATTCAGTTCTGTGATTTTGATTCGAGTTGTTCTGTGCATTTTAACTGCAACAGACTCTGAAATGACAGCAAAGAAATGAACATACATTAACATCGGCAATTATCCCATGGGGGTGGAGAGCAACAGTAACTGCAATAAAAACAAGGTCGCACTTCAAAAATTGGCCATGTACTGTAAAATTTCATACGAAAGAGATATTGAAATGCTCAATTGTCTTGTTCTTCATGATTTGCATAATTCAGGAAACAAGAGTTGACAGTTCTACCACAGATGATGGGAGACATTAAAAACTTAACTGATTTCATAAGAAAGAGAGGAATGTAAAAAGGAGGAAATGCTAAACAGATACAATNAAAAAGTAATAATTCCTTTAAAAAAAGTAATAGTTTGGTCACTCAATCCATGACTGAATTGGCTCCCACATTTTGCCCACAAAAGGTACAGTCAATTCAGCTTCCAGTATATTCTGTAAAGCGCTTTGAGAAGTCTCAAAGATGTGATAAGGCCCTATATCAAATGCAAGGATTATTAGTCTGATTTCATGGCATCCAAAATGTGGTAAATCGTAGAATTCAGTCAACTCTGAAGTCAGTTTCCTGCAGTACATATGTGTACACTGGGAAGTTCTTAAATAAATACACTTGGGAACCTCGGTTTGTTCTAAAATGTTACACAAAGTAAATCTAGATTCAAGTAGATTTTCCCCCTCACAGAAGTCTCCAATTTACTCAAATTATGCAGGAAGCAGACGACTTGTTCCTGCCCGTGCTTTGCACTGGCTTTTGACGATGGCATCGTTATCATCTTAATAATTAATCCTTGCATTTGATGTAACGCCTTATAACGTCGTCGAGACGTCTCAGAGCGCTTCCCAGAACATATTGCAAAGTGGATTGACTGCGTATTTTGCGAGCGAAACGCGGCAGCCAATTGTGCACAGTAGTGTCACACAAACAGTTGTGGATTGAGTGACCAAATATTTTTTTTTGGTGGGTGGGGGGGGAAGCAAACCGTCAATTGCACCATGGAAAAGGGAGAAAAGTAGTCGCCTTTTTTACCCTAAAGGTTCCACCCTGGAGACCCTGAGGGTTGAAACTTCAGGTGAAAATCGTGGACAAGATTTTTTTTGTCAAATCGCAGCAAATCACGAGAAGCTGTGGCTCAACACACACACACACAGACCGAGAGCTGTGACGACCCCCAACCCAGAGCGTGTCACCCAATCCTTATCAGTCACTTAACAGCAAATTAGCCAAATCTGCTTGGAAATAGATGCGACTGATATATTTTGAAATTATTGCAGCTTCCCGTTCATATTTTTTTTACTCCCCTCCTTCCCATCCACAGCCATCTCTGCGGGTGTCACTCACACACATAGTTACTGGGAGAAATAAAAAAAAACACACACACACACCCAAAGGGGAGAGGGGGAGAGAGGAGGGGAGAGGGGGGGAGGGAGGGAGAGGGAGAGTGGGGGGGGGGGGGGGGGGGGAGAGAGAAATAGGGGGAAAAAGGGAAAATCGCAGAAAATTAAGAATTATCCAAGTCGGGGAGTGACAAAGATTCACGTTGCCATCATCGCGCTGAAGGCTGATCACACACACACACACACACACACACGTATGTACACACATATAACATATATCAGACACAGAGAGAAGCTTTTTAGAATCCTCGGTTATATGGGGAAAAAATCTGCACTTTTTTTTTGACCGTCTCCAGAAGCGATGACAATCCGATATGGAATCCGAAGCGCCGCCGCACAGGACAGCACTGCGCGGACACACAATGGAAACCTGGGATCTGGTGCCAACCCGTCCCGGTTCAGCCCCGGGCATCCCAACACACCGGGCCACCGGCTACCGCGGGCTCCCCCTTTGCTCTGTCCCCCCTCCCCTGTTTCCCCTCTGCCCTATCGCCCCCTTCCCTATTGCCCTCTGCCCTATCGCCCCCTCTCCTATTGCCCCTCTGCCCTATCGCCCCTTCCCTATTGCCCCTCTGCCCTATCGCCCCCTTCCCTATTGCCCCTCTGCCCTATCGCCCCCCTCCCCTGTTGCCCCTCTGCCCTATTGCCCCCTCCCCTGTTGCCCCTCTGCCCTATCGCCCCCCTCTCCTATTGCCTCTCTGCCCTATCGCCCCCTTCCCTATTGCCCCTCTGCCCTATCGCCCCCCTCTCCTATTGCCCCTCTGCCCTATCGCCCCCTGCCCTATCGCCCCCTGCCCTATCGCCCCCTCTCCTATTGCCCCTCTGCCCTATCGCCCCCTGCCCTATCGCCCCCTGCCCTATCGCCCCCCTCTCCTATTGCCCCTCTGCCCTATCGCCCCCCTCCCCTGTTGCCCCTCTGCCCTATCGCCCCCTCCCTGTTGCCCCTCTGCCCTATCGCCCCCTCCCCTGTTGCCCCTCTGCCCTATCGCCCCCCTCCCCTATCGCCCCCTCCCCTATCGCCCCCTTGGTTTCAAGTCTGCTTTATCCCCGACATCGTCGGCGGATGTGAACGGAATTTCATTTCACTGGAAACTGAAAATCTACGGTTATAAGTCTATATTTAAATATATTGCAAACAATCCCCCACCGCCGGTGGTGACCAGTCCCCGTTGGTGGCGCGTGTTGCCCTTTCCCGGCGCTAAATTGCCCGTTCATTTCGATAAGGGGAAGCGATTGACGCGATGGTAAAACCCGGTCATCGTATGGGGTTCGGTATTCCTCACACGGGAAGAATGTCTCATTGTTTACCTGCGCTCCGACTGCAGGAGATCGGGGAGTCGGTGTGGAAAGAGGCACCGAATTCACGGTTGACGGTAAACTCGATACCTGGGCAGCTGTCACCGCCGGTAAAACCCGCAACCGGTCCAGAATCGCTCCTGAAATCCATCCTTCCAGTTGTTACTGAGCTCCACTGACTCGGTTAATCCGAATGAGTTTTTTCCACTCTGCCCCAGAGAACAGCTCCACCCTCTCTCTCTCTCTCTCTCACACACACACACACACACACACAACACACTCCCCACCCTCATACACACTCCCCACCCTCATACACACTCCCCACCCTCACACACACACTCCCCACCCTCACACACACACTCCCCACTCACACGACCATTGATCCGTATCAAAATCGGATCAATTATCTAATGAGCCGTTAATATACAATTCAGTGTGTGCCGCACAGCGCCTCTGCACACGGGGGGGTGGGGGGGTGGGGGGGGGGCACAAGGAGAGCTGATCCTAATGTCTGGTTGGGTTAAATAAAAAGTTACTAAAATATTCTGCATCTTTACCCCCCGCGGTCAGAAGGGCTGAAATCACCGCTGTATTAAATTTAAATTTAAATATATATGGATTTATTTCTGCAAAGGCGAGAGGCAGCTCCAGATTGGGGGCCATACTGTATACAAAAGGGAGAGAAGTAAACAAGAGAAAGGTTTGCTTTGTGTGTGCATGTGTAATCTTGGTGTTTAATGACGTGAATGGTGCCTCCATACAGTCTCACTTCTGGTTACTATAGCGACCAGATTACACTTGGCAACATCCCCCCCCCCCCCCCTCCCTCCCCTCCCCTTCCAGGAAAACAACTGTAAAATCGAGGAAGGGTTGGGAGGGGTGGGGGGGGGCTGTCTGTGTGTGCCATTCTGCCAGCTTTGGCATTCAAAGCAATCCTTAAGCAAAGGGTCCAAGAGGATGGGAAGGATTGTTTTGGGCTGGGTATGGAGCTGGGAATGGTGCTCTGGCTCCCCACCTCACTAATTTCATGCTCAGTAATTGGTGGCAGGGAATCCTCTAACTCGGCTCCTGTTAACCCCACAAGCCCGAGCCCTGATGGGTAGGGCGATGGTAGTTGGACAAGTAACAGAGAAAGCTTGCCAGACAGCGCTCTCAATGGCAAGCTAAGCCGTTTTAGCTGGTTAGACTCCAGCAGTTACCCACTAATATCGTGGACTCCAACGCTCACTCTGGGGTCCCCCAAGCCTTGGCTCTTGACAACCTGCGCCTAATAAATCCATGTGCTCCTCCAACATCCATTCCAACAATCTAACTCTGGGTTTTCCATGTGTAAGTGGGATGCATGGAACTCTCAGCTTCAATTGGATGCTCTTAAGCATGGTGATGGGTTTCTGCCTGTGTCAGACACCCAGATGGCCAAAAAAAAGAGCTTAGATACATCACATTGGAGTGGTGAGCGATTCAACAAATTCCCCACCGACCATCACACCCCAGGGAGAGGGCAGGCTGGGATGTTACTATCAGGTACAGCAAAAGCCGCATAAATGTGATCTGTATAAATCGTATAATTGCCTAAATCGTATATCTGGAGTCCTGCGGCTCAGTGGTTAGAGCACTCGCCTCGCAAGCAAGAGACTTGGGTTTGTTTCCTGACAGGGTGAAATGTTGAGCAAGTTTCCTTACTCCACTGTTTACCTAGAGTAAGTAGGAACCTGGTTGTCAGTCAATTAGCGGATTGCTTTTCAAGAGATAATAATCCTTTAAAAAAAATTTGGCGACTCAATCCATGACTGTTTGTGGGACACTGCTGTGTGCAATTGGCTGCCTGTTTCACAAATATACAGTCAATTCACTTTACAGTATATTCTGTGAAGCATTTTGAGACGTCTAGGAGTCGTGAAAAGCGCTATATCAAATGCAAGGATTATTATTATTATTATCTGCCCCAAGTCCTGTTCAAGTCTATGCAAGTTATAAGTCATATTAATTGTTTGGTCCCAACTGATATGACTTATGTGAAGTTTACCTATCCTGTATTAGGGAGCTCCAATAAAAATATCAACCTCCTTCACTGGCAACCACAGAAAAATGCCTATTTCGCCCCCAAAATACACGCACAATCTGCTTTACTGTATATTCGTGTGAAGCACTTTAAGATGTCTTGATGGCGTGATAAGGTGCTATATCAAATGCAAGGATTATTATTATCAGGAATCTGATCTCGTGTGGATTTAAAACTCCCCTCAGAATATACGAAAACTCCCAAAACAGACTCCAGTGGATTCACCAATTAATTAATTATTAAGACAATTAATAACCTGAATGTTATGAAGACAAAACATTAAGAGACAGTTGCGAATGGCAGGACAGCTGAAGAGCCTGTTTTGCTGCTGGGGAGGGGGAATGTTTCATTTTGAAAGGAGATGTGGAGATGGATAGCAAAGACTCGGGTGGACTTTAGAGGGTTGTGATGTGAACTCTAAAAGGCAAGAGAGGGTGTGATGTTCCACCTATCGATCCACTGTTTACTACAAGCACTCCCCCCCCCCCCCCCCCCCACCCCCCACACCCCCCCATCATTTTGCGATTTGTCCGGGGATTAAGAAGTGCGCACAATATTCAGAAACACATGTGTTCGAAAGGAGGGGATGTCGGTGCCGTTGTTGACCGTTAGCTGCCATCAAAATCTTTCAGGGGCCACAGTCTTACTACTAAACGCTCTGGTGCTATAACATGTTCATTTACTGCAGACCCCCCCCCCCCCCACCCCCAACCACCCCACCCCCCAAAAAAAATAAATTCGGATTATACAGTGCTAGTAAACGCGGATAACCCATCAAACGAGCGGCCTACTCACTTCTTGCTCTGAAAGATTCGTTCTTAGCTGATTATTCTTCCCAAGAGTGCAGTGATCTCCCTCTCCCTTCACACTCTCTCCTTCTCTCAGTAAAACAGCAAATACCTGGCATCATCTTAACGGTGCGCAGTGCTCAACCCTAAACCCGCAGTCAAAACCCTTTCAATTAGAACTCTGTCCATCAGCCCCGAGTTGAGGTGAGAAACACCGAGTGAACCAACATCTATCAGGACAGAGTGACTGCATTGTGTGGAATCTCCGACAGAAAGGTCTACTTTCCTAAAATAAGAGAATGAAATAAAATGAACTCAGCCTCTGCCAGTGATGCAATGGACACTGTCCGATTTACCATCGACTCGCTGCAATAAACAGAACACAACATTCACACAAATTGCTAAACCGAGGCCCCCTGGAAGCAGGTCAGACTAGGAATCGAACCACCTCACTTTTGCCCAACAAAAGTCGGGGAAACGGTGTGTGTGTGTGTGTGGGGGGGGGGGGGGGGGGGGGGGGATAGAGAGTGAGTGCGATAGCGGTCAGGAATTCTTAACAGCAACGAGGCATCTGTTATAAAGTTGGCCATCGTTAAAGGGATATATCTCATTTCAAGGCTGAGCTAAATGCGGCTCCTCCAGTTAGAGAGGTTCAGGACTTGCACTGGTGTTAGACTTGTGGACCGAGTGCCATTATTTTATAAAAGGGATATCAAAGGCTTGTTGGATCCCTGGCGAGTCCGGGGTGGATCTTCACACTTGATTCAGAGTAGCTGAGGGCTTTAGTGCACTGTTTAGCGGGTGGGGAACCCCTGCATTTCATTCCTAGTTCTCTCTGACCCATGAACTTGTTTTTCAGTGCAAACGCAACCCAGAGGTTTGCACCAATGCTCAGGACAGAAGGGATTCGGTTGACACTGGATCCCACCCCCAAAGCCATTAAAAGTTGATATTTTCATGTAAGTTTAATGTCCCTTTTCAGCAGCTCCTCGACACTCAAGTGGTCGGTGTGTGAGAGGAGGAGGGAGAAGCAATCGTTAATTTATTTGTGAAGACATGGAACTGTTTTGTTTTGAACGTCAGATAATCGGATGAAACCCATGTAGCCGCTCAATTTACTGAAAATACTAAAAATATATACACCGACTGCCGGACTGGTGTATCTCTCTCTCTCTCTCTCTCTCTCTCTCTATATATATATATATATATATATATATGAATCACACAAGTTAACATGTTGTCAAGTCGACATTCAAGGCAAGAACACAACATTGCGAGTTACACGGGTCGGGAAAGAGACCAACAGGTATTAAATACTGTGTGTAGTTTCCCTCTGATCCGCCCATGTGTTGATTCATTCGTGTTGAGAAGTAGGGCGAACACATGGCGCGTTTTTTACACGGTGCGGGGCGAGGCTGGTGAATGAACTCAAAGTGCACATTCTCACACACACTCCAAGAAGAAGAGCACAACGTCTTTTTTTTTAAAAAAAACTACCCATTGGAGAGAATGAACACTCCCACCCACCCACACCCCCACCCCCACCCACCCCCACACACCCACACACCCAAACTCCCCAACTCTAAGGCCAGTTTCACCAGATCCACACAAGCACTTTCCTGAGATTACACGGAGATCGTTTCATACAAAGGACTGTGTTTTCTCTGCCCCCCCACCCCCACCCCCTCCCCCCTCCCCACCCCACGCCTTCACTGTGTCGTACGAACGTTTTAACCCAATCGATTCACAAACGAGAGAGTTGCCTGATATGGGGAAGGGGGGAACTTGTCGGGGGGTTCAAGACCCTCCAGGGCGATATTGCTCAAATGTATTTATATTGTGTCCAGATCCCGTACAATCTCCTCCTCACCCACCACTGACCCTCCTTTTTTTTTTGTAAAATGTGCGTGGATTTTTTTTTATTTCCGCTGAGGGGAGGGGGTCGGGGGCAGAGGGGGGGGGGGGGTGATGCAAGAGGGGAAATGTACGGAAGGGATAGATAGCTGTTATCTTGCGGTTGGGGCTACACCAGAGCCGAGCGGAGCACAGCACAGGGCTATTCCAGGGCTCGCGTGAATTTTCAGGGAGAGAATCAATTCCATTCCGTTCACCGAATTCACGGGAATCAAACAACAACAACAACAAACAACAACAACAACAACAACAGGTGACACGCACACGGAGCCTTTCAAGTCGGGGGGGGGGGGGGTTGCAATGACAGTCAGGGATTTGGACCCGAGCTGGCGGTTGGGATCAGGAGGGGGGTG